TTTAAGAAAGCCGACTTCATAAAGCTTAGGGAAGTGCTGGGTGAGATCCCATGGACAGTAATACTAAAAGGAAAGGGAGTTCAAGATGGCTGGGAGTTTGTTAAGAGGGAGATAGTAAAAGCACAACTTCAGGCAATACCAATGAGACGGAAACATGGAAGGTGCCTAAAGAAGCCAGGGTGGCTATCTAAAGAACTTTTAACTGAGTTAAGATTAAAAAAGGATGTGTACAAAAAATGGAAAAGGGGGGAAACCACCAAAGAGGAATTCAAACAAATAGCCAGCACGTGTAGACACAAAGTCAGAAAAGCTAAAGCACAAAATGAACTCAGGCTTGCTAGAGAGGTTAAAAGCAACAAAAAAGGCTTTTATGGGTATGTTCGTAGCAAAAGGAAGAACAAAGAAACCGTGGGGTCACTCAGAGGAGAAGATGGTGAAATGCAAACAGGGGACACAGAAAGGGCTGAACTCCTCAATGCTTTCTTTGCCTCAGTCTTCTCCGATAAAGAAAACAATGCCCGACCTGAAGAATTTGGAGCAAATGATTCAGCAGAGGAAACACAACCCAGAATAACTAAGGAGATAGTACAAGAATACTTGGCTAGTCTAGATGTATTCAAGTCTCCAGGGCCAGATGAACTGCATCCAAGAGTATTAAAAGAACTGGCAGATGTGATTTCAGAACCACTGGCAGTCATCTTTGAGAATTCCTGGAGAACAGGCGAAGTCCCGGCAGACTGGAGGAGGGCAAATGTTGTCCCTATTTTCAAAAAGGGGAAAAGAGAGGACCCAAATAATTACCGCCCAGTCAGTCTGACATCAATACCAGGGAAGATTCTGGAGCAGATCATTAAGCAAACAGTCTGTGAGCACCTAGAAAGGAATGCTGTGATCACCAATAGTCAGCATGGATTTCTGAAAAATAAGTCATGTCAGACTAACCTGATCTCGTTTTTTGACAGAATTACAAGCCTGGTAGATGAAGGGAATGCAGTGGATGTAGTCTACCTTGATTTCAGCAAGGCATTTGACAAGGTGCCCCATGATATTCTTGTAAAGAAGCTGGTAAAATGCGGTCTTGACTATGCTACCACTCAGTGGATTTGTAACTGGCTGACTGACCGAACCCAAAGGGTGTTCATCAATGGTTCCTCTTCATCCTGGAGAAGAGTGACTAGTGGGGTGCCACAGGGTTCTGTCTTGGGCCCGGTCTTATTCAACATCTTTATCAACGACTTGGATGATGGACTCAAGGGCATCCTGATCAAATTTGCAGATGACACCAAACTGGGAGGGGTGACTAACACCCCAGAGGACAGGATCACACTTCAAAACGACCTTGACAGATTAGAGAACTGGGCCAAAACAAACAAGATGAATTTTAACAGGGAGAAATGTAAAGTATTGCACTTGGGCAAAAAAAATGAGAGGCACAAATACAAGATGGGGGACACCTGGCTTGAGAGCAGTACATGTGAAAAGGATCTAGGAGTCTTGGTTGACCACAAACTTGACATGAGCCAACAATGTGACGCGGCAGCTAAAAAAGCCAATGCAATTCTGGGCCTCATCAATAGGAGTATAGCATCTAGATCAAGGGAAGTAATAGTGCCACTGTATTCTGCTCTGGTCAGACCTCACCTGGAGTACTGTGTCCAGTTCTGGGCACCACAGTTCAAGAAGGACACTGACAAACTCGAACGTGTCCAGAGGAGGGCAACCAAAATGGTCAAAGGCCTGGAAACGATGCCTTATGAGGAACGGCTAAGGGAGCTGGGCATGTTTAGCCTGGAGAAGAGGAGGTTACGGGGTGATATGATAGCCATGTACAAATATATAAAAGGATGTCACATAGAGGAGGGAGAAAGGCTGTTTTCTGCTGCTCCAGAGAAGCGGACACGGAGCAATGGATCCAAACTACAAGAAAGAAGATTCCACCTAAACATTAGGAAGAACTTCCTGACAGTAAGAGCTGTTCGACAGTGGAATTTGCTGCCAAGGAGTGTGGTGGAGTCTCCTTCTTTGGAGGTCTTTAAGCAGAGGCTTGACAACCATATGTCAGGAGTGCTCTGATGGTGTTTCCTGCTTGGCAGGGGGTTGGACTCGATGGCCCTTGTGGTCTCTTCCAACTCTATGATTCTATGATTCTATGATTCTAAGAAGGAACAGCATCATTGACTCTATTTGAACATCTTATGCAATGCTTTTCAAGGTTCTGTACTGTCCCGCCTTGTTACAGAGAATCTTCCCCCACATCATCTTATAAGAACAGGACCCCAGGTATGTCGCAGTGGAATCTGGGAAGTTTTGCAGAGGCCGTGTGCAGTCTATGGGAATGGGCTGCACGGTGGTTGCCTGGTGTTCTGAGTCTCAAACACACACAGAGGCAGGAGGTGGAGCTGGGGAGCTCAAGGGACAGTCAGGTTAGGAGGTGGAACCTGGTGGGATAGGAGCAGCCAGTATCTCAAGATGCTGGATAGCTCAGTTGTTTAGAGCGTGGTGATGGTGACACCAAGGCTGAAGGTTTGATCCCCATAAGGGACAGCTGCATATGCCTGCTTTGCAGGGGGTTGGACTAGGTGATCCACAGGGTCCCTTCCAACTCTATGATTCTAAGACCTAATGTTGGGTTTTTAAAAAATATAAATTAGGTGCAGTGGAGGCTGGTCCACTAGGGCAAATGGGCCACTGCCCTCATGCAACATGGCAACAGAAGACTTAAGTGTCTACACCAGGGCAGGGAGCCCTTTTAACCCCAAGGGCCACTTTCCCTCATGGGCAGCCTTCCAGGGGCCACATGCCTATGGTGGGCAGGGCCAGATATAAAAGAAGGTGGAGCAATGGATGTGGCGCTTACCTTTTTGCAGCAGGCTGTGTTCCAGCCATGCAAAAGTCAGTGCACGCTCCATTGTCCATCCAGGAAAGCAATGAGCATTATCACAGACTCCACCCGAACTATACATTCCATGCAGTATCAAACCACTTTCAACAGCCATGTCTTCACCCAAAGAATCCTGGGAAATGTAGTTTGTTAATGGTGCTGAGAGTTCTTAGGAGACCCCTCTTCCCCTGCTTGAGTTGCAATTCCCAGAGTTCCATGGGAAGAGAAAATGATAGTTAAATGACTCCAGACCATCCAAGTGTCTCTATTTCCTAGGGATGTCCCTGATTTACAGAAGGCGCCCCAGTTTCTGATTTGATCCCCAAATGTCCCGCTATTCCTTAGGATGTCTCTATTTTCATTGCAGAAATGTTGAAGGTTATGCAGTTATCCGACCCGAGCCGTCTGAAGGCAATCCTGTATAGAGAAGTTTTTAAAAATGTTTAATGTTTTATTATGTTTTAATATATGTTGAAGGCTGCCAAAAGTGGCCGGAGCAACCCGCTAAGATGTGTGGGGCATAAATAGTAAAATCATCATTATGGACTGGGATGTCCCGTTTTCATCGGATAAATGTTGGAGGGCGTGTGACTCTGGGAATTGTAGTTCTGTTTGGGAAATCAGGGTCTCCGAAATTCTCAGCACCCTTAACAAACGACACTTCCCAGAATTCATTTGGGGAAGCCACAACTGGTTCCAAGTGGTATGGTGCCAATTTAATTGTATAGTGCAGATGGGATCAGAATTCAAGCACACATTCCAGCAAGACAAAATCAATTAAGGAGTGCTCAGAAGAAGGCCAGAGGCAGGTTTGACATGGAGGAGGGCGTCTCAGTTGGAGAGGCCCTCTGGGCCTGACACTCCACACCCCTGATATATACCTGCCCCTTTCCCAGAGCAATTGAACAACTTCCAGCTAGACGTTGTTTTAAACCGACCACAAGATGGCAGTAGCGGTTAAAGCATTGGCCACGCTGGGTTGTTTTGCTGATTGTGCCTGACACATTCAAACCTAGAATGTGGCATGTTTTGCAAGAAAAAAAGCCAGAACGCTTCAAAGGTTGAGCTTCCTTGAGAATTCAGAACTTATGTCCAAGTAAGAGTCACATGCTCAAATATTTCCTTGACCAAAGAAACAAACTGGCTCAGGAGAGAAATGAAGACACTCGCAGAGCCTGACTCCATTTTCTACATCAGATATAAGTATCATTTCCTTGCTGAGTGCTAGTCTTGACTTTAGCACAATTCTATCTATGTTTACTTAGATGTAAGTGCCAAACTGTTTAATGGATCTTGCTACCAGGCAAGTGTGCATAGGATTATAGCCTTAACATGATAAAGGATGTGCATTAATCCATCCCCCCCCCCCCAGAAGGCAGAAGGCTGGTAAGGTTTTCTGTTCAGCAATGAAGGAGGAATAGGTCCGAAACACATTTATATATGGATTTGAAGTATTAATACTTAATTGCAGGGGTTGGACTGGATTGCAAGGGGTTCGAGTAGATGAACCTTGGGGTCCCTTCCAACTCTACAGTTCTATGCATAGCTGTCAATGTTTCCCTTTTTTAAAGGAAATTCCCTTATTCTGAATAGGATTCCTCGCAAGAAAAGGGAAAAGTTGACAGCCATGGTTCTATGACTATATTTTTATATGGTTACAGTGGTACCTCGGGTTACATACGCTTCAGGTTACATACGCTTCAGGTTACAGACCTAACCCAGAAATAGTGCTTCAGGTTAAGAACTTTGCTTCAGGATGAGAACACAAATCATGCTCTGGCGGTGCGGCGGCAGCAGGAGTCCCCATTAGCTAAAGTGGTGCTTCAGGTTAAGAACAGTTTCAGGTTAAGAACGGACCTCCGGAATGAATTAAGTACTTAACCTGAGGTACCACTGTATATGCATTGTTACATGTACAGTTGTATTTTGGAAGCCGAGCGGAATCCGTTCTGGAAGTCCGTTCGGCTTCCAAAAAATGTTTGCAAACTGGAACACTCCTGGGTTTGTGGCGTTTGGGAGTCAAAACATATGAATGCCAAGGCATTCAGCTTCCAATGTGTGGCTATATATGTTTAGGTGTTAGTTCATTTAAGAAACCTGAAGTCATGTGTGTGAGTGAGGAAGTGCCATAGCTCAGTGGTAGAACATCTGCCTTGCAAGCAGAAGGTTCCAGGTTCAATTCCTGGCACCTCCAGGTAGGGCTGGGAGAGACTCCTGCCTGAAATCCTGGACAGCCACTGCCAGTCCGTGTTGTAAGTACTGAGCTAGGTGGACTGATGGTCTGACTCAGTATAAGGCAGCTTCTGTCAAGGCTGAGGTCAGATGCAGGTCAGCACAAAAGATGTACCTCTCCAGCCAAGTGATAAACTTGGGAAATGTTTAATGTTTTTAAAAAATGCATTTGTTGTTGTTGTTGTTGTTTAGTCGTGTCCGACTCTTCGTGACCCCATGGACCAGAGCACACTAGGCACTCCTGTCTTCCACTGCCTCCCGCAGTTTGGTCAGACTCATGTTTGTAGCTTCGAGAACACTGTCCAACCATCTCGTCCTCTGTCGTCCCCTTCTTCTTGTGCCCTCAATCTTTCCCAACATCAGGGTCTTTCCCAGGGAGTCTTCTCTTCTCATGACGTAGTCAAAGTATTGGAGCCTCAGCTTCAGGATCTGTCCTTCCAGTGAGCACTCAAGGCTGATTTCCTTAAGAATGGATACGTTTGATCTTCTTGCAGTCCATGGGACTCTCAAGAGTCTCCTCCAGCACCATAATTCAAAAGCATCAATTCTTCAGCGATCAGCCTTCTTTATGGTCCAGCTCTTACTTCCATACATCACTACTGGGAAAACCATGGCTTTAACTATACGGACCTTTGTTGGCAAGGTGATGTCTCTGCTTCAAAAAATGCATATATAAGTGAAAATAACACCAAAAATTGCATCCTATTAGGATAAATTGTTTTGCATAGATTTGTATGTTAGGCAAAATTGCATGGAAACATGTGTATATTAGGAGAAATTTGCACTAGGAAAAAAAAATGAAAACTGACATTGAAATGTGGGGAACTAAATGTAAGATGGCAGAGGGGCAGGGAGGGAATCAGAGAGAAACAAAAATCAGCAATTTCCCCATCCCTCTCCCCAGTCCACAGTTTGAGAAATGCTGCCTTGAGGAATTCCAGAATCACAAAAGGATACAGTGGTGTGTATCGTCCTCAGGCTGATTATGGGATGACCTGCTTTGTTCTGGAGCTTGCTTGTCAACCTAAACACTATCACCATCAGTTTAAAAACTACACGCCACCTTTTATACAATCTGCAGGAAACTCCCTATTAAATTTTCACTCCACCTCCTTCTGTGCCTCCCATTATTCGTCTCTGGCGAACAAAGTTAGTGCTGTAAAGGATCTTTTCCAAGAGAGTAGCAAAGTAAGAAAAGGGATTCTTTTGTCTCCAGGAATAAAAAAAAACCACACCACCCTGTTGCTGCTTTTGAACAACTTCCTTCAACACGGATAAAAAAGGTCTTTCATCTGCCTTTAAGTGGCTCCATTTTAAGCATGAGTCAGTCAGCTTTTCAAAGTTAATACAACTCGATCAAAAACTGACTTGGCTGCAGCAACTGCTCATCCAACTAGGATTTCATCTGAGATTGTGGGCGGCTGGGGGTAGGGCTGGGGTGGGAGGGGGGAAGATGAAGGAAGCACCCAAAGAAAACTTCATCAGCTGTCAAATGTTTTTCCAGCAAAGGGAGGATGTTTGGAAACCATATTGAGATTTAATCTGTGCAAGAAAGACATGGAAGTTGCAGCTGTGCCTGAGTGGGCACATGAGAATTAAATAACAGTAGGAAAGGGGGAAAGGCTAAACCATCCATTGTTAATGATGGGGGAGAAATTTGGTACGGACCTAATTTGTACTTCCTGGGCCAGTACACAGATTCAGCTATCATTGGAAATTTGTGCTTCTCTGAATTTTGTGATGTGGTTCTCCGACTGGATATGTAGAAAAATGCTTATCTTAGGAGAAAGTGTGATAGCCTTAACCTCCATGAATTTGTCTAATCCTATTTTAAAGACATCTAACTTGGTGGCCAGTAAGTGGTAGACCTTCACCCCTTCCCATCTCCTCTTTACAGCAACGCTCTCCTCATATCAAGTAGAGATTTTAGGACAGTCTCTTCCCCGCTCTGTCATTTATGAAATTACCAGAAACTGGTTGGAATAAACTGACAGAGAATTCTTGTAGTATCATTATTAGTTAATCACCCAGTCCAAAACAACTAACGTCTTGACACCAGTTCCAGAAACAGAAACCAAAAGACAGAGGAAATTTAGCATTTTAATTAAAGGTATATGTTAGGACTGTGCTTTGTGGAGTGGAACTATTTTTCTTCATCAACCCCTAATTCAATGAAATTGTTCAATTTCTGGGTTCATAGCCATTGTTTTCACCCAATCTACTTCTGCTTTTGTGCTATTTTGTTGCTGTTACAGCTGTATTGATTTCAGAGAGGGCAAGTGAAGCATATGCAGAGTGAGGGCAATGCTTGCTGGACAGATCAGTTTAGAGCGAGGGCAGTGCTTCCTAGACAGGTCAGGTCAGTCATCTGTTAGCTGAAGCTGACTGCGAACCTTGGAAATCTATTGTTAAAGAAGGTCTGTCACTGGCACTGGCGGAGGAACGGGGGTTGGATTACTCGTGGTTGGATTACTGCAATGCACTCTATGAGAGGGCACAGCTAGGGCAGAATGTAGTGGCTACGATGTTTTTTTGGGGGGCAAACTACCGCCAGCACTTATCACGGTGCTTGCAGTGGCTGCCAATGTGTTACAGGGTCAAGTTCAAGGTGTCGGTACTAACAGCCAGCGTGGTGTAGTGATTAAGAGCGGTGGACTCGTAATCTGGTGAACCGGGTTCGCTTCCCCGCTCCTCCACATGCAGCTGCTGGGTGACCTTGGGCTAGTCACACTTCTCTGAAGTCTCTTAGCCTCACTCACCTCACAGAGTGTTTGTTGTGGGAGAGGAAGGGAAAGGAGATTGCTAGCCGCTTTGAGACTCCTTAAGAGGAGTGAAAGGCGGGATATCAAGTCCAAACTCTTCTTCTAACATAGAAGTAGGGCTGGGAGGGATCCCTGTCTGAAACCCTGGAGAGCTTCTGCCAGTCAGTGCAGACCACACTGAGCTAGATGTACCAATGGTCTGACTCAGTATATGACAGCTTCTTGTGCTCCCTGTCCTTAGGTTCCGTTCCACAGGAAGTGGAGAACTCGGCTCCAAATGGAGTGGATGTGTATCAGAAAGTGGGAAAAGATTTGGGAGCATTCAAATCTCCTCATATTCTAACCACCACCCCACACAGATTCTTAGTGGCCCAGACTTCAAACATCAGGTTGTCCATTCTGTTTCCGAAGAGGACTTCATCGCTCTACCAAAGAACCGTACAGAATGCTGTTTTGACTTCGGTTCAGTCTGAACCACGAAAGAAGAAGCGCACACTTCCACAAGCGTGCGCACGCAATAGCAAGTGAGCATATTAAGCATGTTAATATCAATTATTAAAGCCGTCATCACAGCTAAACTGGCAGGAACATAACCTACATAATTGGAACCAGCGGGAAGTAGGTGTCAAGGAAAGAATGACTACGGCGGAGATGAGTGCCAGAGGAACTCCAGAGGGTTCCCTTGGCTTGTTTTTCCGATAACAAGCGCCCCCCCTTGCTTTTCCTAAAAATGTGAATTATTCCAGTGCAGAACTTAAAGAGACTTTGCAGACTATATGTTTAAACATTCACAGCCAGGGAGCAATAGCGTAGTTTGACCATTTTAAACTCTGGACTTAGTGAGTTATATGCAACATTAGGCCTACTCGGAAGTTAATGAAGATGATTAGCTTCAATCCGTCAGTTTCAATGGGTCTACCATGAGTATATAGCAGGTGAACGTAGGAAGCTTCCTCATACTGGATTAGACCACCGGTCCATCTGGCTCAGTTTTGTCTACACTGGCTGGCAACAGCTTTCCAGGGTAGCAGACAGTCCCAACTGGAAATGTTGGGGATTGAACCTGAGACCATCTGCATGCAAACTAGAGGCTCAGTCAATGAGCTGTGGCCTTTTCCCTAGGAAGGGGGCCAGGACTGGAGCCAGCTCAATATTATTTACTCTTTAGATAGCAATATGTATTACATCACTTCCAAAGCCAGTGTGGTGTAGAGGTTAGGTTGTTGGGAGTGTCAGACTAGAACCTTGTAGGCTTGGGTTCAAATTCCCATTCCACCATGGAAGCTCACTGAGTGAACCTTGCCTCCTTGTCTCCTAGCCTAACCTACCTCACAGGGTTGTTGTGAGGAGGAGGAAGGTGAGGAGGAGGAAGAGGAGCTCCTTAGATATAACATATACAGTGGTACCTGGGGTTAAGTACTTAATTCGTTCCGGAGGTCCGTACTTAACCTGAAACTGTTCTTAACCTGAAGCACCACTTTAGCTAATGGGGCCTCCAGCTGCCGCCGCGCCGCCAGAGCACGATTTCTGTTCTCATCCTGAAACAGAGTTCTTAACCCGAGGTAATATTTCTGGGTTAGCGGAGTCTGTAACCTGAAGCGTATGTAACCTGAAGCGTATGTAACCCGAGGTACCACTGTAAATGTGATAGATCAATAAAGATATGGTAAGAACATATGAAGGGCCTGCGGGATCAGGCTAATGGCTTCCCTATTGTTCTCACGGTAGATGCCCAGATGTCTTTGGGAAGCCTGCAGGCAGGACCTGGGTACAATAGCATTACATACCCTCCAACATTTCTCCGATGAAAAGAGCGATGTCCTAGTCAATGATAATAATAATAATAATAATAATAATAATAATAATAATAATAATAATAATTTTATTATTTATACCCCACCCATCTGAATGGGTTGCTCCAGCCACTCTGGGTGGCTTCCAACAAAGAACAAAAACATAATAAAACTATACAGGGCATCCTCCAGATGTCTTCTAAAGACTGTATAGTTAGTTGTCTCCTTGGCTTGGGGGTCACATAACTCCATACCCTCCGATGAAAATAAGGACGTCCTACCATACCCTCCAACATTTCCCCAGTGAAAATAGGGGCATCCTAAGGGAAAGTGGGATCAAATCAGAAACCGAGACAGCTTCTGTAGGTAAATCCGGGACCATCCTTGGAAAATAGGGACACTTGGAG